CGAGGATGACGATGATGATGAGAAAGACGATGATGAGGAGGATGAATTGGAGGAGGACGATGATGATATTGATAATGATGGTAATGGTGATGCTGATGCTGATGATGATGATGATGATGATGATGAGGGGGAGGAGGAGGCTGATGATGATAAGATGACGATGATGGTGGTGGTGGTGATGATATTGAATACGACGACGACGATGACGATGATGCTGATGGTGAGGATGAGGATGAGGACGGTGAGTAGGCGGAGGAGAAGGGGGACGATACTGATGACCATTGCAATGCTTGGCGGTGGTGGTGATTATGACGATAATGACGATGATGATTTGGTGCATGATCATGCTGATGAGACTGATGATGATCATGATGACGATGACAATGATGCTCATGATGCTGATGATCATGCTGATGATGATGAAGAAGGAGGTACTGATGCTGATGATGATGGTGATGATGAGGATGCTGGGGATGATGGTAATGCTGAGAAAGATATTGATGATGATGCTGATGATGCTGATGGTACTGACAATGATGATGAGGATGCGGAGGAGGAAGGTGATGATGGTGGTGATGGTGGTGGTGATGATGGTGGCGATGACGATGTGACCGGCAATGATGAGGAGGAGGACGAGGAGGAGTACGATGACGATGATAACGACTGTAATGGTGTTGAAGATGATGATAAGGATGATGATGATGCTGTTGATGATGGTGGTGCTGATGGTGGTGCTGATGATGATGAGGTGGAGGAGGGGGAGGAGGACGAGGAGGAGGAGAAGGAGGGGGCTATTACCGATAATTAAAAAAACGGTGGTGTTGGGGATGATGAATACGTCGAGGGTGATGAGGATGATGAGGATGAGGAAGAGGAGGCCGATCATTCTGATGACCATGCTGATGATACTGATGATGACGATGATGATGATGATGATGGTGGTGGTGGTGGTGGTGTTGGTGATGATGATGTGGGCGACGATGACGATGCTGATGATGCTGCTGCTGATGATCATGATGATGATCAGGAAGAGGATGAGGGCGACGACTTTGATGAGGCGGGTGAGGAGGAGGAAGGCGATGATGGTGATTATGGTTGTGATGATGATACTGGGGATGCTGATAATGCCGATGATGGGAAAAGTGAGGAGGACGAGGACGCTAATGCTGATAATGCTGGCAATGATGATAAAACTATGATGGGGAGGGGGAGGCTGCTGATAATACTGGTGAGGATCGTGTTTGTCGTGGTGGTGATGATGAAGGCGACGATGATGATGATTTTGATGCTGATGACGATGATGATGATGCTGAGGATGAGGATGGGGTTGAGGAGGGTGTGTAGAGGGACGAGGACGGTGAAGATCATGATGATAGTGACGATGATGATGGGCGTGGTGTTGGTGATGATGACGACGATGATGACGATGCTGATGATGATGATGATGACGATGCTGATGCTGATGATGATGATTCGGAGAAAGATGGGGGATGAGTAGAGGAGGAGCCCGATGCTGATGATGCAGAAGATGATGATGATGTTGATGCTGCTGATGCTGATGAGTATGATGATGACGATGATGATGATCATGATGATTATGGGGTGGACGTGATGATGATGAGGCTGACGGTGCTGATGTTGAGGAGGAGGAGGACGAGCATGAGGAGGAGGAAGAGGAGGAGGGTGATGATTACGCTGATCATGATGAGGATGATGATGATGGTGGTGGCGGTGGTGGTTGTGGCGCTGGTGGTGACGGTGATGGTGAGGGCGACCGCGATGATAATGAGGAGGATGATACTGATGATGATTCTGATAATGATGATGATGATGATGATGATGATGATGATGATGATGATTGTGGTGGTGGTGGTTGTGGTGATGATGGTGAGGAGGGTGGCAATGTTGATGATGAGGAGGAGGAGGATGAGACTGAAGAGGATGCTGACCATGCTGCTGATGATGATGATGCTGGTGATGATGATGATGATGCCGACGACGACGATGATGATTATGCTGATGACGACTATGATGATGCTGATGGTGATGATGATGATGATGATGAGGCTGGTGATGCTGGTGCTGCTGATGATGAGGGCGGCGACGATGATGATGAGGATAATGAGGAGCAGAACGATGATGATTGTGTTGGTGGTGGGGGTGATGATGATCACGATGATGATGAGAGCGACGATGGTGAAGAGTACGAGGAGGACGAGGACGATGCTGCTGATGAGAATCATGGAGATGTTGATCAGATGCTGATTGTGAGGAGGGGGCTGATGCTGATCGTCAAGATGATAATGATGATGATGATGCTGATGCTGATGATGATGATGATGATGGTGGTGGTGGTGGTGATCATGATGATGCTGATACGTACGGCGATGATGATGGTGATGATAATGATGACGATGCTGATGGTGATGAGGATGAGGTGGCCGAGGAGAAGGACGAGGACGATGATGATGACGATGATGATGGTGGTGGTGGTGTTGGTAATGATGATGATGATGGTGAGGACGACGATGAAGATGATGTTGAGAAGGAGGTAATGATGAGACGGGGAGTACGATGCTAATGCTGCTGATGAGCATGGTGAGGATGATGCTGATCATGACTATGATGGTTCTGGCGGTGGTGGGTATGATGATGAGGATGACGATGGTGATAATGATCATGATGCTGAGGAGCAGGGTGGGGAGGAGGAGGACGAGGATGAGGAGGAGGGCGATGGTAACGATGATGATGCTGATGATGATGATGATGATGATGCTGATGATGATGATGATGATGATGATGATGATGATGATGATAAGGATGATGCTGATAGTGGTGGTTGTGGCGGTGGTGGTGGTGGTGATGGTTACGGGGTGGTGACGGTGATGATGAGGACGGCGACGGCGATGATGAGGAGGATGAGGGGGATGCGGATGATGATGATGATGATGACGATGATGGTGGCCGTGAGAATGATAAGGATGACGATGATGAGGAGGAGGAGACCGAAGAGGATGATTATCATGATGCTGATGATGCTGGTGATGATGATGATGCTGACGATGTTTTCGTCAGCATAATCTGCGCCGTCATCTTCCTTGCCAGCGTTATTGTCATTGTCCATCATCGCTACTACCATCATCGTTGCCGCCGTTATCGGCGTCATCATGATGCCGCGCCCGCCCGTGTCACCGACCCGCACTGAAGTGCCCGTGTGCCAGCACGGCCTCCGAGACGCGCTGCGAAGTTCCCATCGATAGGCGCAATTGCGGCCGCATCAGTTGCGCCAAAAACCAGCTGCCATGCTGTGCGCGCGAGCTTGCGCGCGTTATCGCGGCCGCAGGTTCACGCGAACCAGTGCCAAGCAGTCGCCGCAATCGCTGCCGCATGGGTTTTGCAAAACATGCTCGTGGGTGCACCCCATAGCTCGCACAACATAGATTGCCCCCCCCCCACCATATCTTTCAACGCGTATGTTATGTCTTCTTAAATACACCGTATGCAGAGTTTGTCACGACTCTCTTCATTGAGAGTTCAAGGTGCCGCTGTTCGGGGTCCACGCCGACAAGCACTTGGACTTGTTGAGTTTAAAAACCGTAAACAAGGTTCCAGCGGAGTCAAGGGGCCACTGTAGTGCCTTGGGGGCTTGAGCTGAATGCTGACGTTCATGGTGGCACCAATGGCGACAAACATGTTAATGGTGGCTTTGATGGTGGTTATAATACGGGTGACGATGAGGAGGGAATAGAGGAGATTGTGGCGAAGACGGTTGATGACGAGGATGAGGGTTATGGTGATGCTGGTGATGATGCTGATGGTGATGACGATGACGATCAGGCTGCTGCGGCTGCTGCTGATGATGAGGATGATGATGGTGGTGGTGGTCTTGATGGTGATGCTGTTGATGATGACGATGTGGCTGAGGCGGATGTGGTGAAGGGTGAGGGGATCGAGACGGGGGGGAACACGGTCACGCACTTTGAATGCCAAATCCAAGCGAACATCGTGCGCAACTCCCATTACAACAGTAATGAAGCCAACGAATCAAGACAGACGCGACACGCACCGCCCGCGCATCTGGATGAGGCGCGCGCGATAGTCCTGGAGGACGCACAGCGACACACACTGACAGTCAGCTTACAGCGGATTGTCACTGCGGTCAACTCCCTCTCCCTTTCTCCCGCCCATCACCCGCTCCCGCCCTGTCTTTCCGTTCCCTCCTAAGGTCGGCAACTTTTGATTAGCGTGTGGCGGCGGCGGCCCCAACGACGCGGCATGTCTTGCAAGCGGAAGCGTGTCGCTCCGCTCCGCGGGGCGGGAGGTTGAGAATCGCTCGGGGCGTTGACGTTTGGGGACAGGGCAGTGGTTAGCGAGTGACGCCGAGGCGTGTTCGGCCAGAGCCGGCGGCGCGACATTCCAAGCGGACGTTCCTGACGGGATCCCCCTCCGCCTTGCGTCATCGCTAAAATTACTCAATATGAATACTACTCTCCCTCTTCCCCTGATGGCGTGCTGGGAGTAGTAGACCCCCCCGCGTACTGATTTTTTACACACAGGATTCCCGGGAGTTGGGTTTTCGGCAGCGTTTTTTTTCAGAATGCTGCTCCCGCTGAGGCGCCGGCCTCATTTCTGCTCCCGAATCGTTCCGAATCGTGCTCCCGCTGCAGCGTGGGCCTCATTTTCGGATCGGTGTTTTGCCTCCGTCGTTCAGGATGGCGTTCTCGCCCCAGCGCGGGCCTCTTTCTCGCGCGCCCATCCGCCCGCCACCACCGCGCCGCACCACGCCCCGCCCCGCCGCACGCACACCCACCGCCACTTCCACCCACCAACGCACGCACGCACGCACGCGCACCACCACCGCGCACCGCCACCACCACCGCACTACCCCACCCACCACCACCACGCTACACCGCGTCACACCACATCACACGCGCGCACACACAGACACACACGCACGCACGCACACACACACACGCACACATACACACACGCACACACAC